AAAGATATGAAAGCAGGATTGGAAGATAAGAAAGACCGGGGGGGGGAGAGAAATAAATGTTGGCCGGGAAAAGATGCGAGAGCAACTCCAACAGCTGAAAGTGGAGCTTCCAGAAGAAACTGGAGCCATAAAAGAAGATGTGAAATGACAGTAATGGCATCTGGAGAATCCAAGGATGAAGAAATGAAAGAAGTAGCTAACAAATTGCCTAAGAAAGATCTACAAATGATGGATGAAGCATCTAACGGGATTAATGAAAAAGAACGAAAACATGAAGAAATAAAAGACGGGAAAGAAGCTTTTGATTCTCAAGTGCCTGAAGTGGAAGTGAAAGAAAGTGAAAATGTGACTGTTAAGTTCTTCAAAACTGATAGTGAAGTTATGAAAACACAGTCAGCAAGTGTTAAACCATCTGAAAGTTAATGTGATACTGAGATTGAAGAAGCTGATGTACAGATGAAGAAGTGTTCTCCAGTATTGCAAGAAAATTCACCCACCTCACAAACTAACTGCGCATCTAATAGTGCTGATTGTACAGATAAGGACTTGATTTTAAACCTCGATACTTGCGTTTGTGAAGAATTGGGTTCCGTTCATGACTATAATGCAGAATTTGAAGCTGGTTCACAGGAAACGAAGGAAAATAAGTGTGTACCATCTGCTAAAAATACCGAGGTAAATTGTATACATGATGCAAATAAAAACCACATAGTGATGAACGAACTGTTTTAAATCTTCCAATGGATGAAAAGTCCGAAAGGACTGAATCTTCAGATTGTGACATGAAAAACAGAAATGCATCTGAGAACTGCAGTGGAAAAGTATTTGACCCGGGAATATTTTAATGAAAAGACAGAGACTGAAATTCATTTAGAACTTTAACTTGTATTATTTGAAATTGTGATGTGTTTTATTTGTGTATATAACTTGTACATAGTGTAAATATTTGCTTCTCATTTTTAGGGGTACCCATAATTCTTGCGCATGAGTTTTCTTACCTAGTTTCTGTGTGAAGTTTGTATGTAATGTAAATGTTTGTTTCTTTAGTTATGTTACCTGTATGTTTTTAAAATGTTTGCATTGTATCGAATTTGGCTGCTGACCAAGGATTGTACTGCCCAGGACGTGCAGTCCTTGGGAGGGGGCAGCGGTAACGAAATGTACAGGCGCGGTAAGATGGCTTCCCCACAAAGCAGTTTTAAGGTTGCCATAAAATGACAAGGGAAGGCAGGGTTGCCACATTTGGTGAGAAATTGCCTATTTGGCGACATGCCATGGACAGATAGAGAACCTTCTGGAATGAATTCTTACCGGTTTAGCCGAGAATGTTCTTGAACACAAGCCAAAAGCTATATAAACCCTGCCGGTTTGCAGTCAGTTAGTGTGTGTGCCTCATCTAGCGAGCTGATAGTCAGTCATTGAGCGAGTGTTTTGAGTCTAGCCCCGAGTACATCGCGAATTAGTGTATCGTTGAGTTTTGTCTTAGACTGCACTGAGTCGAGAGCTATACTCTTGTGTATTGTCGAGTGCATTGCGTGGAGCCTCAAGAGTACGTGAAGTTCCGAGAACGACCAAGCAGAGTCGGGAGCTGTACTCAGGTGCTTTGCAGTGAAGCTGTCTTTACCGTTATTGCCTGACAGTGTGAAGGCTGTGTCGCTGAACGTGTCAGCGTGTTTATAACAGTTCAATGACTGTAAAAGTGATTTTAGAGCTATCTGATTAATATTGCTAAATAAAGTGTGTTTCAATACTTTAAGTGTCATCGTTATTCACTCCAAATCTACAAACCCCGTACAAACGTGAAGGAAGAAAATAACGTAACAATATTAAATAAATACAAATAGTATAAAAACTTAATTATGCTGTTTTAATCCCCCCCCAAAATATTACTTCTTTCACTTTAGAATTGGCCATTTTCTATTCTTGTTTCATCATGATCAACTGTTTGTAACTGTACCTTTAAAAAAAATTCGCTTTACTTAAAAACATAACTTAATTACATAATAACTTGAAAATCTGCAAATCTTATTCAATAAAAGTTTTAATAACATGTACTATATTCATTTATGAAGTATTAGAAACAGAAAAAATTTAATTGAAACATTTTTTTTCAGTATGCAAAACATAATTTGTTCCTCATTCTAGCTTTATGAATATACATGTACTACAATTAGGGTTATCAGACATCTTTGGATTCTTTATATGAGATGGATTGTATGTTTAATTAATTAGTTTCACTTCTACATATATCAGCTTTAGTACAAAAGATTTTTTTCCAACTACAAACAACATTTATTTTTCATGAAGAAATGTATTATAAGGGTATATATTAAAAGAATGTTTAAATTAGAATACTAAATATCCAGATATTATGATTTCAGATTAAGAATTTAAGGTTCTGATTCAGATTACTGATTTGCATTTTTATGAATACATAAAGTCCAACAGAGTTTCTAATGAAAATATTAGCAAGTGAAAAATATGTAAGAGTGGAACAACAAAAATTCCAGCCATCTACAACATATTCAGAGCAGAAATACTTTAAAAAGTATGCAGTTTAATTCTGCAACATCCCAATATTTTGTTGTCATTGTATTATTTTACACCATTGTCAACTCCTCTGCACAAGAATACATAGACCTTAATGGAGTAACGAACGACAGTCTGGAACCGCTGAACCAATTTCTAACACCGAAGCCCTTTTTCATTTTGCAATTTTTAATATAGCACCTCAATGGTTTCATCGTTAACATGAAATTTCACGCTGTGGCCATTTTCATATACTCATTTGTCAGGAAAAAAGCCTCTTTCTTGGAAAATAGTATGGTACCCAACTCATTACTTGGTAAATTAAAGATTATTAATGTCATGCTCACACACAAAAAACGCAATGAATATATTTTTTAATAAACAATGCGAATTCGAAAAACCTCATAAAAAATGAATAATATAAGAATTCACAATGAAATCAAAAATGCAACACGGTGCTAATATAAGATTACAGGGCGAGGTATAAGAAGACACTGCTAGTGCTAATATACGATCACATGGTGAACTGTAAAAACACACAGCTAGATTTTGGTGAGATATCTTGGTTGATTGGTGATTTAATCTCAGGTGCCGCCATTTTCACATACTCATTTGTCAGGAAAAAAGCCTCTTTCTTGGAAAATAGTATGGTACCCAACTCATTACTTGGTAAATTAAAGATTATTAATGTCATGCTCACACACAAAAAACGCAATGAATATATTTTTTAATAAACAATGCGAATTCGAAAAACCTCATAAAAAATGAATAATATAAGAACTCACAATGAAATCAAAAATGCAACACGGTGCTAATATAAGATTACAGGGCGAGGTATAAGAAGACACTGCTAGTGCTAATATACGATCACATGGTGAACTGTAAAAACACACAGCTAGATTTTGGTGAGATATCTTGGTTGATTGGTGATTTAATCTCAGGTGCCACTATAACAAAGAAGTACCAATTCTATTTAGGGAATACATTACTTGGGAATGAGAGAGCAGACTCAATGTATTAATTACATAATATTTGCCAAATCAGTCAGCACTGTAGCTTTGTTGGCTAAAGCACCTATCTAGCAACTGAGCAACAAGAAATGTTCAGAATTCAAAAGGCCCACCAGAGGCCGAGTGGTAAAGTCGCTAAACACCGGTAGTCAGTCCGGGGTTCGAATCCCAGAGAACAGGCTAGTGGCATGGACATTTCCATGGTTCCCCATGTGTAAAGTATAAATGAGACAATATCTCTAAAAAGTCATCCGTGAAGGCATCCCTCACGTTAGGTTGATAACTCTCAAGTGCTTTTGCTTTAATGTAATCGAATAAACCAAACCAGGAAAATTTGCATTTGATAAATCTTGAAATCCCTCATTATTAATAATCTGTTCATTATAACAATCACATCAATTCCCACAGATTAAATCTGGTTCCACCAATATTTCTTTATGTTTACCATAACATTGCTTAATTCTGACTTTATGTCCATGTGGCCAATGAACTTATTAATGTTTTTCTACTTGCTTATATCTTTAGTGTGTATTTATGTCAAAAAACTATAAAATACTAATAAAAGTGTCTGTATCCTAGCTAGTATAGTGGTTAGCATATCAATTGTGAATTCCCGAATTTGAAATGTTTCTCATACACATTTGACTTTTGAATAAATTTTCATAATCGACCTGTATTTGCTCTTATTGATATAAAAACCATTGAAAAAAACTATAATATTACATCAGTAAATGACTAGTAATTTTTATTTGGTTGGTTGGTTGATTTTTTAATGGCACAAAACCTCGAGGGGTTATTATGCGCCAGACAAATGGTGAATAAAATTCAAGATGCACAAACACGCTGTGCCAAATGAATTGATGAAATGGACCTGAGATGCTGATGAACGCATTTTGTGAAATGACTTTGAAATGTCCAGGCACTCTAGCAACAAGTAGATCAGGATAAAAGGGAAATAACTTCAAATCATATAGTAAAAAGGGATGTATTTTAAAAATCTTATGAGGTTGATGTTAATTTTTATTTGGTCCTTTCATGTTGACTGAAAAGAAAAATATATTGCTAGCAATGAAACCATTTTAATTAATTATGAAAGTGATAACAATAACTGCAATAAAAAGCAGAAAATGTATGGTAATAAACTAGTGGTTCTCATTGAGTGGGGAATTCCTCAATGGAATGATTCCATAGTTCAAGAAGGGATGGGGTAAGCCTTTTATTTAGCTATTGAGTATTTAGATTAATGAATATAAAAACTACTATTTTTTTCAAGTTTTTATATTTATCATTTCTTTTACTTCTTGTTGTTTAATTTATAAAACACATTTAAAAATGCTCTAAAGCTAAATAAATGTATACATATTTCTTGAGTTTTGGTGAGGTGATGGGGAAATGATCTTCCAGTAGTGATGAAAGAGTGCATGTGGCAGAAGAGGTTGAGAACCACTGTATGAGACTTACCAAATCAGGCTCCCATAAAGCTTCACACATGCCATATGCTTGTTCTGAACAAGTTCCAGCCACAACAAAATCATTAGGCTCATTTATACAACCAATTACATCCATACTGCAAATATATGGTTTATACGTTTCGGGTTCCAGTCCAGCTATGACAGGCACAACAAAAAATGGTCCAAACCTTAAAAATTACAAGACACAATTATCAAACATTCAAATTTGCAGTTTAAAGAAAATTAAATTTAATTAAAAGGTATTAATCATGAATTTTATACATTATTTTAAACATATAGTACATTTTTCTGATATAGTATAAAATACTCATTTACACCTGGTTACAATTTATCAATATCGAGTTTTAGACATCAAATCAATCATACAATTATTTTCAAGATTTAATTTTTCCTAAAATGAAATACATGATTTAAAACTAACTTTTTCTAATTAATTTTTTACATAAAAACTTAGAAATAAATTACACATACATACAGGATCTAGTTACATTATTACCACTATTATTTGGCAGGATTAGCCAAGACAGCACAGGTCAAGTTTAAAACCTTACCTATACTATTAAAATCTGTTAAGCATCTGTCTGTTTGTAACATCATCTCCCCTGGAATGGCAAGGAATTGACTTTTGAGAGAGGTACCCCCCGATTCCAAAATTTGCAGGAAGCCATTTCGACTATTCTCATCTTCGTATGATTTTAATTAGCAAAGATATTAATTAAAGACTTTGAAAATGCTATATTGGCAACAAAAAATTTATTTACAAAAAATTAAGTACTTTTCAATTTCGTCAGGACAAATCTCGCCAAGCAGACTTTGTTGGTGACAACATAAATTTGTTGGCGTATACACATAAAAAATGTTAGTTCTAAGAATTTTTTATTTTGAAGGCATAAAACATTTTAATATGGTTTAAAATTTTGTATAAAACCAATAAATAAAGACAATAAATTTGTAAAAATTTGTATTTTCGCCTTTGGGTGAGCGGTGTGATTGCATCCTAATTGACTTAATTACTGCGAATGGTCTTAGGGCATAAAATTTAATTATCTTTGTAAATCTTCTACGTAATTGTATGCTCGTATTGAAAGAAACAATCAATCTGGTAACAAATGGCTGCGATGACTTGTTTTGAAGATGAGGCATAAAAAGGTACCAGCGAAGATATTTGTTTGGCAACAGTTGTACCATTATTGGTGACTTTATTGTTTGCGCCGGCAAAACGGAAAGGTACCACATATTAGTTGTTGCGAGTTGTACGTGATATTAATTATTGATTGCTGGAGTTTGTTATGAGATATTAACTAAAACTCTGAAAATGAAATTTTTTTTTGGGGGGGGGAGTTACAAATTGGTTGTTTGCTTGAAAAGCTCACTACGGTATATATAATAGCTGGATACCAACAGATCAACAACTGCAGTGAAGGATCTGATTTATCCAAGTTAGGAAATGATTTTTCACCATTGAGTGCCTGGTGCCAGTATTTTGGAAATCTGAATGACCTGTGAATTTCCCCCATAGATCAGTGGTAACGATGGCCACCAGTGGACCAATTTTGACAAACTAGAGATCAAATTGTGTATGCCCACAGCAATAGTTCAGTTTACTTTGCTACATACAGGACTCTGGAGACAATGCTTAGTAACTACACAGAAATTTACGATGAATCGCTAACAAAAATGCTTGGAATCTGCATAACAATACCAAATTTGGAAAAGAAATAGGCTATCTTTTCAGATCAATCCCAATTTGTGCACCATTGAGAGAATGCACGGTGATGTATCTGTGCAAAACACTAGAACACTGGACAATAGGAAAATGCATCCTAATCTGAGGCATGTTTCCCTGATACTTGCTGGATCCTCTAAAGCCTACCTATGGCACTCTGAAACAATTTGGTTACATCTCCATACCTGCTGACGCTATACACCTTCATATATTCACTTTGTTTATTACATGGTAGTGAAACCTTTCAGTGGAAGAATATTACTTCCTTGGCATCCAGATTTACCAGAAGAACCTGTGAATTACTCATCAAGAATCTTCCAGAACACTTCATATGGTCAGTACATGGAGCCTCCTCCTCTCTTGCATTCTGCACGTTGCCTAATTTCCACAACATCTGGTACCTGTCCAGTACTGATAATGGCGGTTACCAGTTCTTAGAAAAAAGGTTCTAATAATGTAACTCAACCCTGTATTAATTTTGATAAATAATTTAAAGTTTTAAAAAACTGGCACTAAATAAACAGAACATAGAAAACAGGATTCAATTATGATTAATATTAACTAGTAAAAATCTACATACTTTCAAACACATTAAAATACATAAAAAAGACATGGTCTTATGATTTAAATGCCAAAAGAAAGAAATATTAAAAATGACTTTAACCGCTTGCCTGATTATCCCGAGTTATCTCAGGTTCGTATATATTGCAGTTAATTATTATCCTGTGAAAACTCACACAAAGCAGAATTTTTTAGTACGATTTGTTTTATCACGGTTTTACTCGGCGTGGAGGAAATGAAAGGAAACTCAGGCTTTGATTGGATTTGCCAAATTTTGTTGGTTGCACGTCTTTTGGAGGGACTGGTCACGTGTTTCCCTATTGTAAAGAGACTTCGGCTTGTGGATTAATAATGTATAAAAAGGAATACATGCATTGAAAAAAATAATAATGGCAATGATGTAAGATAGCGAAAGTGATGATTTTTCAGATAGTAATTATAAAGAAGTGGAAAAAAATTGAAAAAAAAAAAAAATCAAATCCAACAAGACAGCGTACTCTGGCTTCCGTGAAAGAGATTCCAGCGGTAAGCCAGTAAGAAAAGAGACCAGGTACCCGTCCATAGTTTTAACTCATATACTAGGAATAAAAAAGCAATTACTACATTTACTTTTAATTTCAAATTTCTCAGAATTTTAAATTATTAATTTTTTTTATTTGAAAGCACATATTTCTTATTCTTTTTTCAGAGATCTGAAATTTTTTAATATCAGGTTTTAAAATTCTTAAATTTTAAATTACCAAAAAAAAAGCAGATCGGTAAAACTAACATGAACTTTTATCATTCTAAATATACTTTGCCTTGAAATAATTCCAGCTCATAATTTCTAATCTGAATTCTTCAGATAGTGATTAGAGTTTAGAAATAAAAAACATTATAATTATGGAAAATTATCAAACAAAAAAGGAGAGAAATAACAACCTTTGCTCATAAAGCAGATTTGATAAGACAGAAGCAAATGTTCTAGGCGTCATCTCTCTTCCTTCCCTCAATTCATACATATTCAAACGAAATTTCAACTTCTGTGATCTAAAAAAGTAAGTTTAAAATCAATAAGTACAAAAAATTACAAATAATATGCTCAAAAACTATATTGAAACTATATTGCTCAAACTATATTGAAACTATATTGAACTATGCTCAAAACTATATTGAAAAAATAATGTAGCTAATTAGATTACCATAACCACCATTTATATTAATGTATAAAACAGAACTTCGAAAATCAGATTGGCAACAAAGAAAATATTCAAGTCATTCTTATACGAGTAAAAATTTTTACCCATTAAAGATCTGACAAAAATTAATAGTAAGAAATCTTATCAATTTAATCAACATTGGTTTATAACAATAATTTACAAATAGGAAAAGTGGTATACACATTGAATAAGTCACCTTTTTTAAATAGCAATTGTGAATTCAATTGGAAAAAAAAAAAAAAAAATCTGATGTGGCCAACATGACATCTCACCAATTCCATATTGTA